ACCTCTCTCTCTCTCTCTCTCTCTCTCTCTCTCTCTCTCTCTCTCTCTCTCTCTCTCTCTCTCTCTCCTTTCCTATCTCTAGTAAGCATGTCCTTGGTGAGGGTTAAAAAATAAATAAAAGGTAGAGTGGTGAAATAAAATCTAAAAAAAACCCAAAACCAAAACCCTGCCCAGCTGATATGGTTCAGTGGTTGTCAGTTCAATTCCTAGTCAGGGCACTTGCCTGGGTTGTGGGCTTGATCCCCAATAGGGAACATGCAGGAGGCAGCTGATCGATGTTTCTTCTCTCTCTCTCTCTCTCTCTCTCTCTCTCTCTCTCTCTCTCTCTTCCTCTCTTTCTAAAAATCAATGAAAGTATATTAAAAAAAAATAAACACCCAAAACTTAAATTACCCAGAGGCGAACACTATCAATATGTGGCTCTGTACTTCTAGGTTTTGTTAGTGGAGCATCAAACTCCCTGCTTCTTCCAGGACAAAGTAAGACTACTCCTCACAATGATGGTAGCCATGGCTTAGCAGTCAAAGGCCACTTACATATTAGGGACCCCATTGTAACACCTAAAACTAGTATAAAATACTATTGAATGTCAACTGTAATTGAAAAATAAAATTTAAGAAGAAAAAGAAACATATTGTTATAAAAATGAGATATACTGTAAGTAAATCACATTTTATGAAAATCTTTCATATGTTACAAACATTTTGTTACATGTAAACATCTATATAACAATAGTGTTAATACCACCTGAGATTCTATGTCATGTGTCAGAAATACTCTCAACCAAGGGCCTTTGTCCATTCTTTTTCAAATACTAAACCCCAGCTGGTTTGGCTCAGTGGATAGAGCCCCGGACTGTTGACTGAAGGGTCACGGGTTCAATTCTAGTCAAGGGCACATGCCTGGGTTGGGGGCTTGATTCCCAGTAGGGGGCGTGCAGGATGCAGCCAATCAGTGATCCTCATCATTGATGTTTCTATTTCTTTTTCCCTCTCCTTTCCTCTCTGAAGTAAATTTAAAAAAATATATAAATTGCTTCTCAAATACTTAGTGAACATGCATTGTGTGCCACAGCTTGGCTTTGCATTTATTATATACTGACTGCAGAATCAGTCACTACTAACATAGTAACATTATTATAAACTAGAGGCCTGGTGCATGAAATTACTGTACCCTCTCAATCCAGCCTGTACCCTCTCCAATCTGGGACATCCCTCTCACAATCCTGGACTGCTGGTCCTAATTGCTCACCTGCCAGCCTGCCAGCTGCCCTCCCTCTCCCCGCTGGCCTGGTCACCCCCAAGAGCTCCCCCTGCCGGCCTGGTTGCACCTCACAGCCTGTTGTTCAGTTGTTTGGTTGTCTCTCACTAAACCCCCTGCCAGCCTGGTTGTGAGCAGCCATCTTGTGAGGGTGTAATGGTCAATTTGCATATTACCTCTTTATTATATAGGATATGTTGCTGAATATCCTTATGTCTGAGAATCTGTAATTGTTAACTGAGGAAAAATTCTCATAAGTGGGATATCTAGATTAAAGAGGAGATACACTTTAAGGTAAAATTACCCTCCAATTAGATTTTACCAATTTGTACTCACACCGACTTCCTGTGATTAGTTTCCCAATAACGCTCATTACTTTCTCTGGTTCCTCCTTTTGTTCCTAAGCCCTCTGCAGGCTGGTTTTTGTACCCACTACTCCGATGAAATTGCCAAGGCCACCAGATGTATTCTAAACTGCCAATTTCAGTAATCCACCTATTTTCTGCCCTTATCTTTTTTTTTTTTATTCTTTTTTTTTTAAATATATTTTATTGATTTTGTACAGAGAGGAAGGGAGAAGGATAGAGAGCTAGAAACATCGATGGGAGAGAAACACCGACCAGCTGCCTCCTGTACCCCCCCTACTGGGGATGTGCCCGCAACCAATGTATATGCCCTTGACCGGAATTGAATCTGGGACCTTTCAGTCCGCAGACCGATGCTCTATCCACTGAGCCAAACTGGTTTCGGCTGTTTTTTCTTTCTTTAAAAAATATATTTTTATTGACTTCAGAGAGGATGGGAGAGTCTGAGAAAGATAGAAACATCAATGATGAAAGAGAATTATTGATTGGCTGCCTCCTGCATGCCCCCTACTGGGATCAAGCCTACAACACTGGCATGTGCCCTGACAGGGAATCAAACTATGTGAACTATGACCTTTTGGTTCATAGGTCAACACTTAACCACTGTGCCACACTGGCCGGGTGTCAGATGTTTTCCCTCTTTGGTTGGGTAAAGCAGGTCTGGTCTTACTAGCCTCATTTCACAGCTGGGGACTTAAAGCTCAGAGAGGTGCTGAGCCTAAGAGGACACACAGCACTCCTACATTGCAAATCCAGGCCTCCTGACACCACAGCCATAAGCTTCCTTTTGAGTGTGATTTCTGGAATTCTTGGTGATGTGTGCCAAGTTTTTCTAGCACTAGGAGGGCCTCACAAGGAGAATTTTGTTTGGTTCTTTCTTTATAGCGAGAGCAGCCAGGAGAGGTGGAATAGGGAGACCAAGACAGACAGTACACAGCAGCCATCCAGGAGCTCTAGATGCCAGGCAGTCTGCAGCCACCTGCTAAAGCCTATCCTCCCTGAACCAAGGACACTGAGGAGAAAATCATTTGCATGTCTCCTCCCCAACCAGAGGGTAAATAACTTAAATCACCCCATTCAGGGAGGTGGCAGAAATCCAATCAGTGCCATTTGCCAACCACACCCGGCACAGAGGAAGTGAAAAGAATACATCTCTTTCTGGTTCATCAGCATAAAACTGATCCTCCGCTCAGACCTCCCCTAAAAGCCCCGCCTTTTAAACCCCCTCAAACTAGGGCCCAGTCCTGCTCTCCCTCCCAGGGGCTGGTTGGTTCCTTTCCCCTCCCCCTCCACAGGCGAGCATCACTGAAAGCTGTGGTCGGCAAACTGCAACTCGAGAGCCACATGCGGCTCTTTGGCCCCTTAAGTGTGGCTCTTCCACAAAATACCATGGCCTGGGCCAGACTATTTTGAAGAAGTGGCGTTAGAAGAAGTTTAAGTTTAAAAAATTTGGCTCTCAGAAGAAATTTCAATTGTCCTGCTGATATTTGGCTCTGGTAACTAACAGTTTGCTGACCACTGACCTAAAGCAATCTCAGGAGGCTCACAACTAGGGCAGCAAAGGACAGTGGCCGCTCCCTGAACCTGTCCCCATGGCCCCCTTTTCTCCGACTTCTTAGTGCGTCAACGCAGCCCAGCTGAGGCCTATTTTCCTACCTAGTGCCTCTCGTGCTATCCCAGGCCCTTCCTTGTTTCCCTGTTCCCAGCTTTAATAAACGTCCCATAACCAAAATGCACCTGGACTCATGTTGTGAAGTTTCTCCTGCATGAGGTCAAGAACCCACACACTACGGTCTGGCCCCAGGCAGACCCGCCAAGGGCCAAGGCCAGGGGCCCCTTTCCAGGAACAGTAGGAAGACATTTCCATAGCATCTCCTTCTCAGCATCCCTGCTGTTCTTCATTGGTCCTCAAGGCCTTGGCTAAAACGGGGCTCTAAGGAGGACTTAGCCATGGGGTGCACAGGGGCCCCTAATAGGGCAGGTTTTCATCACGGAGAGTTCGGAGAAGGCAGGAGAGTGGCCCAGGGACCTGGCAGGGAGGGTCATGCCAAGAGGCTCAGGACAGGGCTTTGGGGCCACGCAGCCCTGTGTGGGGGTCTTGGACAGATGTATATGGACTTTCCTGGGTGACCTAGGATATGACTTTGACCACCAGCATAAGACATGGCATAAGACATTTGCTTCTTCCTAGCGTTCGTTTGAGGATTTAATAAGATTTAGGCTCTTTGCCTGACACATAGTACCCAGTCAATAACTGGGTCTTTTAAAAAATGACTTTTATTTTTCCATTATTATTTACTTATTTATTTTAAAATATATTTTATTGATTTTTTTACAAAAAGGAATAGAAAGCTAGAAACACCGATGAGAGAGAAACATGGATCAACTGCCTCCTGCACACCTCCTACTGGGCATGAGCCCGAAACCAAGGTACATGCACTTGACCTGGCACCTTTCAGTCTGCAGGCCGACTCTCTATCTACTGAGCAAACCGGTCAGGGCAATAACTGGGTCTTTTTAAAAAGATGACTTTTATTTTTCCATTAATTTTTAGAGAGAGTGGAGGGGAGAGACAAGAAAGAGAGCCATCGATTGATTGCCTCATTTGTCCCGCGGCGTTTTAAAAGATTCTTTCCATCGGGACAGTTTTAAAACGCTGGGGGACGTGGGACAAATTGTTAAAAATCGGGGCTGTCCCGCCAAAAGTGGGACGTCTGGTCACCTTACTCATTGGTTGCCTCAAGCCTGCAACCGAGGTACGTGCCCTTGACGAATCGAACCCCAGACCCTTCAGTCCCTGGGCCAAGGCTCTGCCCGCTGGGGCAATGACTGGGCCTTTACTCTCGATGTAACAAGGCGTTTTTGGTAGGCACCTCATGTGGGCCTTCCACCTATCCACTCCCCCTGGCTCCGCAGGTGGACATTTTAAATGACAGGGCAGAGACTGGAGGTGACTCGAGTTGGGGTGGCCGCGGACCTGGCCCTGCTGGGAGGGAGGCCCAGGCGGCCCTGCTCCTCCCGGGCCCGCGGATCTCACGCCTCGCCCGCCCGCCGGGCCGCAGGCTCCCGTGCTCGCCCGGGAGCGGCCGCTCAGCGCCATCTTTGAGCCTGGCGCGGGCGGCGCACTTTCTCACTTCCCTCCCCACGGGAGCAGCCGCGCAGGCCTCCAGCGTGCCGCTTCGGTGGACGGTGTATCTCAAACTCGTCGTGCCAATAAGCACCGGCGAAAAAAAGAATAATTAATCTCTCTTTTCTGGGTCTTGAAGGAAGCGTTCTGACCAATTCAAAGATGGCGTCGACAGCCTCACCGCCCCAGCCTTCCGCTCTGGAGGGGCGGCGGGGCAAAGGTCGTACTGGAGTGCGCCGGCGCGAGAGGGCGGGGCCGTCTCCATGGCAACCCGCGCGCTGCCCGGGCGGCCCGTGTGGCGGGAAGCGGCTGCCGCGGCGCTGGCGACGGGCGGGGCTGCGGGCGCGGAGGCGCCCGAGCGGCCGGGGCCGCTGCGGGACGAGACCCTGGGCGTGGTGTCCGTGCCCTCGCAGTGGCGGGGCGCCCAGGGCAGCCGCGGGGTGACGGTGAGGGCGCGGCCCGGCGCGGGGCGACGCGGGCGTCGCGGGGAGGGCCGCGCGAGGCCGCCGGCCGGGTTCTGGTCCCGCCGTTTTCCTTTTACATTTTAATATATTTAATGCTCACAGGAGCTGGCTGTGGGGTACTTCCCTCCCAGTTTCCTCAGTCTTTGGACAGCGGCCTAAAGGCGTTTTTTTGTTTTGTTTTTTTAAAGAAACCTCCGCCCTGAGCTGGGGGGGTTTGTGTGCACTGCGGGCTTTCAGCATTTCAGATTGTTTCGTTTTACAAAATGCCAGGCTGCCCGTCAGCGCCGGATGAGCCGGTTTCTGCGGTTTAACCAAAAGCTCACGGGAGGGTGCTGTGGTGGCGGGGCCCCGGGGTGCGGGCCGGGAACGGAGGGCGCCGGTGACTGCGGGTGTGAGGGGCCGGGACGCGGGGAAGGAGGGGGCCCCGGCCGGGGGCTCGGGTGGAGCGTCGTCCCGAGCACCGAAAGGGGGCGGGTTCCGGAGGCAGCCCGGCCCTGTCTGTCTGTCTGTCTTTCCGTCCCTCCCTCCCTGCCTCCCTTGCTTTTTCTAAAATAAAATAAAATAAAATAAAATAAAATAAAATAAAATAAGCCCTGGCCAGTTTCGCTCAGTGGATAGAGCATCTGCCTGCGGACTGAAGGGTCCGGTTAGATCTCGGTCAAGGTTAGGAACCTCGGTTTCGGGCTCGAGCCCCAGCAGGGGGCGTGCAGGAGGCAGCTGATCAGTGATTCTCATTGATGTTTATCTCCCTCCCTTTCTGAAATTGATACAAATATGTTAAAAACGATATAATTTTTTTAAACTTTTTTTTTTTAAAGGACGGGTTGGGGAGGGAGAGGGTGAGTTGCAGAGTGGGCTCATTGAGAGGGTGACATTGGAACAGAGACTGGAGGGAGAGAGTTAGCCGAGGGGATGTCTAAGGTAGAAGGTCCAGGCAGAGCAAACTGCAGATGCAAAGCCGGTGGGGTCAGAGCATAGCTGAGGCCGGGAGAATGGACAGGTGAGATCAGGCAGGGTGAGCAGAGGCAGGCCCAGCGGGTAACAGGGTTTCCCAGGAGAGGAAATGGAGGCTGAGTTAGCCATACAGGTGGCCACAGCTCAGGTCCTCACCAGCACTTCCTGCCTTAGGCCAGGGGTGGGAACCTTTTCTCTGCCAAGGCCATTGGATATTTATTTATTTTTATTTTTTAAATATATTTTATTGATTTTTCACAGAGAGGAGGGGAGAGGGATAGAGAGTCAGAAACATCAACAAGAGAGAAACATCGACCAGCTGCCTCCTCCACACCCCCCACCGGGGAGGTGTCCGCCACCAAGGTACATGCCCTTGATTGGAATCGAACCCGAGACCTTCCAGTCCACAGGTCGACACTCTATCCACTGAGCCACACTGGTTTCGGCCCATTGGATATTTATAACATCATTCCTGGGCCATACAGAATTATCAGCTTAAAAATGGTCTGCTATATTTAATCAAACGTTTAACTAACTCGCCCCCGTTAGTTAATAAAACCAGAGTAATGCCTCCGCCGGGCATGTCCCCACCCCTACCTCAGCCGATGGGGTGCAGGTCTCAGGCACGCTGCGCAGGCGCCCTTCTGGTTAAAAAGCAAAGTCAGTGGGTATTTAATTACGTCCTTATCACAGGTGCGCGTGTAACCCACTGGCTTTTAAAGAAGCAGGTGATGTCTTGCTTGCTGAAGATTTCGATTTTAGAAGACTACAGGTTGGGAACACTGATTCAGCTTTGTTTGTTTAAGAATGTGATTGAAGCGTGTTAATTTTGTTGATAGTTTTAACCTGTAGAAAGAACTGATTCTAGGCTTTTATTTGTGAGGGTGGTTCACTTGAATCAGCCTCCTATCTTACTGAAGGAGATTAAAAAAAAAAAATATATATATATATATATATATATATATATATATATATATTATTGATTTCAGAGAGGAAGGGAGAGGGAGAGATAGAAACATCAACAATGAGAGAGAATCATTGATTGGCTGCCTCCTTCACGCCCCATACTGGGGATTGAGCCCGCAACCCAGGCATGTGCCCTTGATTGGAATCAAACCATGACCTCCTGGCCAGAGGTCCACTGGCAACCACTGAGCCACACCAGCTGGGCATTACCACACATTTTTTGTTGTTGATGCTCTAACCAACTGAGCCAGGATTTTTTTTTTTTAATTAATATATTTTATTGACTTTTTACAGAGAGGAATAGAGCGTTAGAAACATCGATGAGAGAGAATCATCAATCAGCTGCCTCTTGCACACCTCCTACTGGGGATGTGCCCACAACCAAGGTACATGCCCTTGACTGGAATCGAACCTGGGACCTTTCAGACCGCAGGCCGACGCTCTATCCACTGAGCCAAACCGGTTTCGGCTGAGCCAGGATTTTAGACGGAGAGAACACCAAGACTGGAAGACAATTTAGTGTCACAGGTCAGATTGCTCTGGGGTTCAAGGACGTGCTTCCATTGATTTTAGATGGAATGGAAAGGAAGGAGGGAGGCACAGGCAGAGAGAAGCATCCATGTGAGAGATAGTGATCGGTTGCCTTCCCAATGCTCTCTGACCAGGTCAGAGATCTAACCTGCAACCCAGGCACATGCCCTTGGCTGGGAATGGAACCCACGACCCTTCGGTGCACAGGGTGACGCTCAACCACTGAGAACACTGGCCAGGGCATCACCACAATTAAAAAAAGGGAAAAAATTCGCCCTCCATTTAGAATCTGGCTTCAGAAAGGTAATTCTTTTGGGAAGTAGGGTGGATTAAATCTGTGGTAGTCAGATTTTGCTGGGAGCTTTAATAAAACCAGAGTCACAGGTCAAACCACTTGCCAGTTAAGCCAGAAACGCTGAAGGGCAGGCCCCAGGCATTCATTTTCCAGTCTCCAGGTCATTTCAGCGTCAGGCAAGTTTGAGAAACAGCAGAGGGCTCTAGCTGGTTTGGCTCAGTGCATAGAGTATAGACCCCTCAGCAGACTGAAGGGTCCTGCCCATGCCCGGGTTGCAGGTCAATCCTCAGTAGGGGGCGTGCAGGAGGCAGCCAGGACAGTCAGGGTTCCCTCTAGGTGAGCCACCAGGCTGGGCCTCTGGGTGCTCAGGGAGGTGGGGGAGCAGCAGAGGGACATGTGTCCCTGCTCTGAGACCAGGGGATGTGAGAGTGAATTCTAGAACGGAATGGTTCTGGGGGACCGCCTTGAGACTGAGATGCCTTTCGCACATCCTCATCGTTGCTGTTTCTTCCTCTCTGAAATCATACTTTTGAAAAAGAAAAAGGAAAAGCAGAGGAACAGAGGGGTGGTTAGGAGCCCTCTGTCTCAGGCAGCTGGACTGGTCACTGAAGACTCACAACTCCCTTCACCTGAAGAGCTCGGCTTGCAAGCTTGGTCAACAGTCTCGGTGCCTCCCTCAGGAGGCATTCTAACACCCATTGGCAGGAGAAATCACAAGTGAGCACCCAAGCCCATCCCCCCAGACTCTGCACCTGGTTCTCAAACCGAAGTCCGGGATCCGGCCGTCTGCAGACTAAGACACGACTCCTCAGTGCGCACGGTCCCCGGTGGGCTCCTCCAGTTCTGTGGCTTCAGTTGTATCTGGTCGGCTGCATCCAGAACCTCATGCCTGTGACCTCTGGACGTGTGAAAGGCACCTCAGTCTAAAGGTGGTCCCCAGAACCACTTCCCTGTCCTAGAATTCACCCTCACATCCCCTGGCCTCAGAGCAGGGGCAGCTGTCCCTCCGCTGCTCCTCCACCTCCCTGAGCAGCCAGAGGCCCAGCCCGGTGCCGTGTCATGGCCCTGCTCACGGCCCCGGTGGCTCACCTAGAGGGAACCCTGACTCTGTCCTGGCTCAGATTCCTTCCCCCGTGCCCCTTCCCTCACTCCCAGGCCGGCACTGGACCCTTGCTGGTAGGGTTTGCTCTGATCTCGTGCTCTCCCCCCTCCCCCGCCCCATCTGAAGCCTTTTCCTGCCGCTCTCCACTTGGCCGGCTCCTGTCCTTCACGCCTCCGCTCCAATGCCGTCTTCCCGACCCTGGAGCCGCCCTAGCTGGCGCCTTCTCCCCCACACTCCGCTGCTTTAGCACCACTGGCGTTGGAGGCTTTTATTTGCTTGTCTGCGCCCAGGCCCCTGTGTGTTATTCAGGGGCACGAATCTTTCCCTGCTGTATCCATGGTGCCCACACCGCGCCCGGCAGGTTGATGCTTAGTAAGTGTATGTGTGTGCGAATATGTATATGTACATATACACACGTGCACATATATATAAATGAACTCGTACTGTGTGCCAAATACCAGGAAAGTGCTGGACACACCAAGACAGAGCAGACAGTGTGCTTATGCTGGAGGAACCCAAATCTAATGAGAGAGGGACCGGCAGCGAGTTTAACAGAATGTGAGGGAACATGGGGATGTGCTGAGTGCTCCGTGTCTACCAGGAGCTGCCCTGCGTGGTCCCAGCTTCCAGCCTCAGCTCCCTAACTGGCCTGGTGCCTGGCCCTGCCTGGGGACGCGGGGCCTTTTGAGTGACTACTCGAGGAGAGTCGCGTAGATGACAATAATCTCGGGGCTATTGGACCCCCATTTGGAAAGGATTGGTCATGATGGTGAGAAAGGCGGGCTGCAGGTCCTGCCTTGATCGGATGTCTGTCGCTGTGCAGCTCAACAAGGGACCAGGACCTTGAGACAGGTGGCAGAGTGGAGGAAAGGACAGCTGGGGTAACCTGCCTTCAACCAACAACTCCGCACAGACACGTGTTTCCTTTGATCACGGGGACGGGGTGGGGACCTTGGAGGTAGCCCTCTAGAGAGCGCTGCTGCCACGGGAGGGAGGGCTGGGGTGTCCTGCTGGTGGCCAGTTCCAGTGTGTGAAGTCAGCCCTGTTGGCTCTCAGATTCCACTGTGTCCTCGATGATGATGAGATGCTGTAGGAACTTGCTTATGTCAGTTATGATAACATTGGTTTCCTTTCACATCATTTGTTTAAAGTTGTTACATGACTCACAGCTGTCATCTCTTCAAAAGGGGACTCCGGAAACCTCACCAAAAAGAGTCTGTCCCCTAAGTCCTCGGGCAGGCTCTTACTGAACCCATCGCGGTGGCTGCGGGGGACCCAGTGCTTCATTGGCTAGAGGTCATGACTATCTTCAGGGTCATGGTACCCCTCCCACCTCAGTGAAGGAGAGGAGATTGGAGGGGCCCTCTCCGCCCACACCACGCTGGCTGGGTACCCTGAGAAAGATGAGCTACTTACAGAGGGAAGGACAGGATTAGTTGGGGACCATTAGCCTGAGGGAAGCAGCCACATGGAAGGTGTTTTCAGCGGAGCCGGTGAGTGCCTTGCAGGTGATGCTGGGAGGAAGCTGGTGGTGACTGGGGTTCTGATCTTTTCCAGAAAAGTTGCCAGACGGTCAGCGTTGCCACTGCCGAGGCGTCCGCTCAGACGCGGAAGCATGCAGATGCCCAGGTACAGACCGAGCCCCCCGTGCCGCTGGGCGCGCGGCCCGGGTCCCGGCACGACGGCGCGGGGCTCACAGCCTTTCTCCGGAGAGTGGAGGCCATGGTCACCCGAGAGCTGAACAAGAACTGGCAGAGCCACGCCTTCGACGGCTTCGAGGTGAACTGGACCGAGCCGCAGCAGACGGTAGGAACCTAGGAGTGCCCCCTCCTCTGCCTCAGCTCGGGCCTCAGTCTCATGCTAAGTCCGTCTTTTGTTCCACCCAAATAATGCCAGTCATGGTAACAGCCCGTGCTGAGCGCTGCTTTCTAGGAAGGCGTCAGTGGTCTCTGCTGTCCTTGAAGTGGGTGCCATCATTTTACGTTGGGAAATGGAGACTCAGTGTTCAGTAACTTGTCCAGAATAGCTGGCGGCAGCAGCAGAGGCAGAGTGTGACCTGGGCGGTCCCAGTCGGCATCTTATCCTCTCCATCGCTCGGCTGTCCCCACACTGGGCAGTGAGGGCTTTCTCTGGGCCATCCCGTTCACTCCTCGGACAATATGAGAGCTGCCAGGATCCTGTAGGAAAGGCTCAGAGAGGCGCGGTGGCTTGTCCAAGGTCACGTCCTGTATCCAGTGAGCTGGGATTTGCGTCTTGGTCTGTCTGGCTTCACCACTGTGCTCTAGTGACCTCAGCATCGCCAATTCTCTTTGCTCTGCAGGCTCAGCTCAGAGCCGGCACTGACAACTCAGCCAGACAGACAGCCCGGGCTGTGGGGTCAGGAGCCTCTGAGGGAATGAAGCATGGCTGTGGCTTCACACTGGGCTGGCTCTCACTCTGCCCAGCGTGTTGCTGAGGACACACTGCTCACTCAGTGCTAAGTTCCCCAATCTGCAGAGCCGTGTGTGTTCTGGTTCACACTTAATGTTTTTATTGATTCGAAGGGAGAGAGAGAAACATTGATGTGAGAGAGAAACTTTGGTTGCCTTCCTTACACATCCCAACCAGGGATCAAACCCGAAACCTGGGCATGTGCCCTGACAGGAATTGAACTGGCAACCTTTTGGAGCATGGGACGACATTTAATCAACTGAGCACACTGGCCGGGGCCACCCTTAAAAAAAAAAAAAAAAAAAAATATATATATATATATATATATATATATATATATATATATATATATATATATTTATTTATTTCAGAGAGGCAGGGAGAGGGAGAGATAGAATCATCAATGATGAGAGAGAATGATTGGTTGCCTCCTGCATGCCCCCTGCTGGGGATCAAGCCTGTAACCTGGGGATATGCCCTTGACCAGAATCAAACCTGGGACCTCTCAGTCCGTAGGCCGATGCTCTATCCACTGAGCCAAACCAGTGAGGGCACACACTTCTTTTTTTAACATGATGTTTGCTTCCTTTAGAAACTGAGACGAGTAGTTATATTAATATATTCAGAGGTCTTCAGCCCTTTCCTCGCCCTCCCCTCCGTCTTCCCTCCATTTCAGTGATATACAGCTGCCTTGTTCCCAACAAATCACGGTGGGTGTGGTGGTCAGTTTATGGAGAAATCCTGAAAATCGCTCTGAAAAACAGTTGTCGAGGCCAAACCAAAGCGCGGAGCCGTTTCTTTCTGAGCAGGCACAGAAGAGGCGTGAACATCGAAATGTCAGCGTGTCCGCTCCGCCCCTCGGCATTGCTTATGCCCGTTTTACGTTGCATAAGCTTTGTGTTCTTTATTATTAGGGCTTTCCCACATTTCTACTGATTAGTTTGGTCTATGTGTGTATTTTATTCTCTTTTTAGAAATACCTATTTTTAAAAATTGATTTGAGAAAGACACGCACAGAGAGAGAGAGAGAGAGAGAGAGAGAGAGAGAGAGAGATTGTTGTTCTATTCATTTATACATTCATTGGTTGATCCTTTAATGTGCCCTGACCAGGGATCAAAGCCACCACCTTAGTGTATTGTGATGATGCTCTAGCTAACCGAGCTACCCGGTTGGGGCCTCTATTCTTTTTTTAATCCTCACCTAAGGATATTTCTCCCTTTGTTTTTCAGGAGGGAGGGAGGGAGGAAGAGAAAGAGAGAGAGAAGCATCGATGTGAGACACATCAACTGGTTGCCTCCCACACTCACCCCAACCTGGCTGGGGATGGAACCTGTAATCCAAGTTCGTGCCCTTGGCTGGGAATCAAACCCTACACCCTTCAGGCTAATGCTCTGACCAATGAGCCACACTGGCCAGGGCTGGTTGTGACCTTTCTTACTTACCAGAGCTTCCATATCAGTTCCTATAAAGGTGCCCCATCTTCCCAGCAGTTACATCGTATCCCACTGCACAGACACACTATCCTCTAGCTGAGTCCCAGCTGGTGGGCATCCAGGCAGCAGCTTCACTCCAGACATGTATCCTCCTCCCGCAGGTAACGGGCGAGAGGCTGGGCAGCACCTTTGTCTGAGGGCCATGTGGTGTGCAGCCCCAGACAGCTGCAGAGTTCCTAGCTGACTCCGAATGTCAAGAGGAGTGTTTTCATGCCCAAACCGGTTTGGCTCAGTGGTAGAGCGTCGGCCTGTGGACTGAAAGGTCCCAGGTTCGATTCCGGTCTAGGGCATGTACCTTGGTTGCGGGCACATCCCCGGTGGGGGGTGTGCAAGAGGCAGCTGATTGATGATTCTCTCTCATCATGTTTCTAGCTCTGTATCCCTCTCTCCCTCTCTATAAAAAATCATTGAAATATATTTAAAAAAAAATGTTGCAGAGCCTGTTGGTGATGTTAGGTTACTGTATGTGCCATGTTTTTTTCTATATATGCATACTAATGACAAAATTTAGTACATAAATAGACACAGTAAGGGGTGAACAACAACAATAAACTAGGACAATTATAATAATATACTGTAATAAAAGTTAGGTGAACAGGGCATTATTAAGTAAAAGAAGGATTACTGAACACAGGTGCTGTGATGTAGGGACAGTGGATCTGATAACGGAGATGGCTGCCGAGCGGCTAACCAGCGGAGTGCGCACAGAGGGGCATGCCGGACAGGGTGGTTTGAAATGGGTGAGGACAGATGTGAGAACAGGCTTCAGCTCTAGTCCCGGGCTGGTGTCTTACCAGGGCCTCCCTGCCTCTGCACTCGGAAGCGTTCTTGAGGGGAGAGGTCAGGATGAAGGCTCCCATTTCCCTCCAGAGCTGCATGGTGGACGCAGATGGCTCCCGGGCTTTTTGTCAGGTGGGATTGGGGCCACTGCTGGTGGCTTTGGGCTCAGGGCTGGGGATGGTCTGTCTCTTGCAGGTGACCTGCCTGCACACCTTGGGCTATCCCCCAGCCCAAGGGCAGGGCCTGCATGTGACCAGTGTCTCCTGGAACAGCACGGGCTCCGTGGTGGCCTGTGCCTACGGCCGGTGAGTGGCTGCAGTGGCAGGTGTGGGCAGTGGGAGGCCCTCAGCCCTCCTCTCACTCTGTGCCCTGTCTGCACAGGGTGGCTGTGAAGGGTTGGGACTGTCAAGGCTGCCCGGGCAGTGGGTGGTAAGGGAGGGAGGGGCTTGGAGCCCAGAGCTCATAGTGCCGCTGGCCAGTACTAGGCAGTGAGCCCTGGGCCTGCCTCGCCTTCTCCATGAGCAGTTCCCTGATGTGTGAGGGTTCCCCCACCCACCGTTGTGTGGGCCCATTCTTGGTTCCCGGGGACCATTTTCCAGAGAAAGTCATGCCCTCGGGGTGCCCTGAAGAAGCCTGTGCCACTGTTACTAAGTACAACAGGTCTGATGGGGACACAGGCCCATCTTGGGTCGTGGGGGGTGGAGGTGGGTCAGGATGAAGCCCCGGGCCGAGGGGCAGAGCCAGCCCGGGCGTGTCCCCGTGCAGCCTGGATGACGGGGACTGGAGCACGCTGAAGTCCTTCGTGTGCGCCTGGAACCTGGACCGGCGAGGCCTGAACCCCCGGCAGCCGTCAGCAGTGGTGGAGGTGCCCAGCGCGGTCATGTGCCTGGCCTTCCACCCCACACAGCCGTCTCACATTGCAGGTGAGCTGCTCAGCCCGCCCCGTCTGCTTTCCACCTGCAGAGGGTGGCACAGGGGCTCCCCAGGGGGCCCTCGGTCCCTGGGCGCCGTCAGGGCAGAGACCACAGCTGACCCTGTGCTCAGGTGAGAAGGCCGAGTGGGCTTGTGCTGGGCGTGGGGCTTGGAGGGAGAGGAGACGTGTCCTTCGTGAGTCTTAGGTGAGGGGGTGTGGGCCAAGCAGAGGTGCAGCTTGGCCAGGACAAGAGCAGGCACCCCAGGGCTGCCAGCGGGGTAGGAGCCAATGGTGACAGGGAGGGGGACTCACTGTGCTGGCAGGGTGCTCAGCCTGGCAGAGGGAGGAGCGTCCTGGGTGAAGCACAGAGGACAGTGAGGCCCGCCGGGGGATCGGACTCTCTTCCTCTGGATGGTTTTCGGGAAAGTGGTTCTACATCCTGGCTCAGTGGGCGGGAGGGCAGGCGCTTGGCCAGGAAGCTGGGCTGGTGGGCATGGGTCAGCTCCTGCCCTGGCCTGCTTGGTCCCACAGGGGGGCTGTACAGCGGCGAGGTGCTGGTGTGGGACATGAGCCGTCCCGAGGACCCGCTGCTCTGGCGCACAGGCCTGACGGATGACACGCACACAGACCCCGTGTACCAGGTCAGAGCAGCAGGTTTGGGTGTGCCACGCAGGCTCCTTCTCCTCTGGGCTGGGCCTTGCTGTTGTGGGCCTGCTTCTCAAGGCAGAGCAGGACAGGGTGCCCACTTGGCACAGCCATGGAGTTAGGTCACCAGGGGTTGGCGGTTGGACAGCTGCCTTCAGCATTCTTGGAGCTCCCAGGACATGAGTCATCCCCACCCCTCTCAGGAGCCACCGCCAGGGCCACTCCCAGCTCCCAGCTGTCCTGGTTTCTGCTGGGACAGGGAGGGACCTGGGAGCCCTCCATACCGGCCCCTGCTGGCTGACTCCCAGCCTAAGCCTTGGGATTCCTTTTTTTTCTGGAAGAGAAGGGGAGGGGCACGGGGGATGACATTTGGTCTTGCCCCATGGGAGGTGGGGGGTTAGGCCAGGCAGCAGGCATCCCTTTCTCAGCCTTGTCCCCACCCCGTTGTCCCAGGTGGTTTGGCTTCCTGAGCCCCGCCACAGCCACCGCTTCCGGGTGCTGAGCGTGGCCACGGACGGGAAGGTGCTGCTCTGGCAGGTGACCGGGCCGGGCCAGCTGCAGCTCACGGAGGGCTTTGCCCTGGTTGTGCAGCAGCTGCCGCGGAACACCAAGCTGAAGAAGGTACGAGGCCGCTAACCCAGAGATGGCCCCGGGCAGCTCCGCCTGTGGGCCCTCCGAGTGAGCCTTGGGGCAGGGGCACTGGCAGTAGTGCCACCAGCTGAGCCAGGACTTGCTGCACAAGCTCTTTAGGCCACAGCGTCATGACATGCCCGGGCTTCTTTGGGACACTGACCAGCTTCCCTCTGCTCTGCTGTCCTTTCTCCGCAGCCTCACCGCGGGGAGACCGAGGTGGGAACCACGGCGGTGGCTTTCTCCAGCTTTGACCCCAGCCTTTTTGTTCTGGGCACGGAAGGCGGCTTCCCGCTCAAGTGCTCCCTGGCCGTGGAAGAGGTGGCTGTCACGCGGGTGCCCAGCTCTGTGTGCCTGCGGGCCCCGGCCCAGTTCGCCTTCTCCCCCCATGGGGGTCCCGTCTACTCTGTGAGCTGCTCCCCCTTCCACAGGTAGGGAAGGCCCGGCCGGGGGTCCCCCACCTGCCACGGGGCCTCTGGCACCGGGGGGGAGGGAGCCCCACCAGGCCTCACCATGGAACTGCTCAAAGGACTGCAGTCCGGTCTGGCCCAGGTCTCTCCGTTTGAACTCTGGTATCCAGGACTCTGGTGGTTGGCCCTCTTACTGAGGACCCCAGGTTTGGGGTCCGGGAGGCTTTCCAGGAGCTGAGAGCCTAGAAGTCTGGCAGGAAGGCGTAGCCGTACTGGCCACCCAGCACTCATCCGCTCGCCTGGCTTTCCGTCCCACCTCCCATCCAGGAACCTCTTCCTGAGCGCAGGGACCGATGGCCACGTCCACCTGTACTCCCTGCTGCAGGCCCAGCCCCTGACCTCCCTGCAGCTGTCCCACAAGTACCTGTTTGCTGTGCGCTGGTCCCCGGTTCGCCCCTTGGTGTTTGCGGCAGCTTCTGGGGAAGGTAGGCGATGGGACACCAGGTTGGATCCGGTTAAGTGCCCGGGGAGTCTGGGCTGGGATAGGCTGCACCTAGTGGTGCCTTCCCTCTTGTGGGAAGGAGCTGAGTTGGCCGGACTGTGGCCTCTGGAGTTTCTCCCCAAGTGCACAGGGGACTTGGAAGAGGTCAGACCTCTCATCTCTCCTCTCCCCCTCTCTCCCTCCACGAAGGCGATGTGCAGCTGTTTGACCTCCAGAAAAGCTCCCAGAAGCCCACCGTTTCAATCAAGCAAACACAGGACGAAAGCCCTGTCTACTGTCTTGAATTCAATTGCCAGCAAACTCAGCTCCTGGCTGCCGGTGATGCCAAGGGAACCGTGAAGGTGTGGCAGCTGAGCACCGAGTTCACTGAACAAGGGCCCTCAGAAACCGAGGGCTTAGAGCAGCTGGCAGCGGAGGTGGCCACCTGAGGACAGAGCTACCTCTGTGCTGAGCTTTGTATTTCTGATGGAAGCTAAATGAAGACAGGCAGCTGTTTTGGGGAGAGTTGCCATTTATTTGTCTTTTATATGGAAACAAACATGGGTGGGTGGGTGGGTGGAGGGAGAACAAGAGGGAAACCAGCCAGCTGCCTAGATTTTTCTGGAGTCGGAATGGGGCAGCTGGCTTCAAAGGAATCTGGGTCCCCCTGCAACCTGGCGACTGCGACCAGACCAGAGCAGGCATCGAAGCACCGTTTTCTAGTAAGTGTCATCCCAAGCTAAGCGGGTCAAAGGTTACATTGGAAAGTAACACTAAGTGTTTCCTTAAGAGCACAGAGATGAGTGGACATGCAGCAAGGCGGCAGCAGGGCAAGCAGCATGGGCCAGGCTAACCTAGGAGCAGATCAATTCACGAAGAGCGAGCGGGTGAATTCGACATAGTCAAAAGCCGTGGGGAGCTCACGGCCCTTGCCATCCACGTAGGGCTTCATGTGGGAGACGCAGTAGTCGGCTTGTTCCCGAGTCAGGTTCTGGAGGGAAGAGGGCACCCGTGAGCCACACGGAGGCGGGGTGGGATGGACTTAATGCCCAGTGTCCAAAGCCAGTCGTAGGAACCGATTGAGAACTCTGGCCTGGACTAAGATTCATGGACGTGGGCATGAAACACCTGCACCCAGCAGGGGGATCCAAGGTGGGGCTCTGTTACTAACCCCCCTCCCCGGGGCAGGGGCAGGGGCAGAGGCCCAGACCTGGTACAGCTCCTCCTTGGTCACGTAAGGCTTTCCCTCGGAGCTCAGGGCCCGGAAGGCGCTCTCGATCTCCTCACTGGACTTGACGTTCTCCGTCTCACGGCTGATCATGAAAGCCATGTATTCTTGCAGGGAGACGTGGCCGTCCCTGGGGGGTGGGAGGGAGGCAAGTGTAGTGAGCAGGAGGGAGGAGTGGGGCAGAGCCAATCCCACTGCTTCTCTGAGGCTCACCTGTTTGGATCCACAGTGTCTAGAATCGCCTCGAACTCGGGGTCGGGCTCCCCTTCCTCCACCATGGGCAGGTCGTAGCCCAGGGAGCGCAGGCAGGATTTGAACTCCTGGTGGTTCAGGCGGCCAGATTTGTCCTTGTCGAAGTGTCTGCAGCACAAAGCCCAGGCAGCTCAGCACACGGGCCCTGCTGAGCCCCGCCGAGCCCCGCCCCAGGTACAGGTGTACTCACTTAAACATCATGCTGAACTCTTTGAGGGCCTCCTCGGTCACCCCTGTTGTGTTCCTGGAAGAAAGAACAGAATTCGGGGTCGAGTCTCCCACAGCAGCAATGTGACTGCTGACGCTGGGGGACTGGTCAGCGGCTCAGACTGCTCCCCCCGCCCAGGGCCAGCGCCCGTACCTGGCCTGAATCTGCTGCTCCAGGTTATGCTGCATGCGCATGCCCAGCTGGTCGAGCTGGTCCCACTGCTGGGCCAGGCCCACCGTGCTGTGCTCCGTGTACTTGTTGTCCAGGATCAGGGCTTCCTCCATGGCTGCCCCCAGGTCCTCAATCTTCTTCAGCTGACTTCTCATGGCTCGAATCTCCTGGTGCTTGCGCTGAGGGGGGGAAAAGAGAAGATGTATGGATAATGGCCCTGGCCCGACAGCCTGAGACCAGCAGGGCTGTGTGCAATGGGAAGGGTGGGTGGGGATGAGGGGAAGAGTCCAGCAGCCTCAGGAGAGGAAAGACTTCAACTCGAGAGCCACAAAGCAGTGGGCAGACCTGCCTGGGAAACTCTGCTAAGGACCAGAGGAGCCTGTTCCTCTTCAAACAGGGCTCCAGGAAGCAATGCTCCAAGACTCCAGACCGAGGGACCCAGGCTCCTGGGAGCCAACAGAAGACAGGTCCCCACCAGCCACCCTGTGCCTGACTGAACCGGCAGGTGAAGGGTCTCAGCCGAGCCAGGAGCCCTTGGGGCACTTACTTTGGTAGCTTCCAGCTGGGATTCAAGGGTCCCGGATTCTTCCACCATGCAGGACCTAAACACGGAAGCACAGTGAGGCGCGAGGGGCCTGAGCGAGCTCTAAAGGCACTATCTTTAGATAAAACGGGGCCTGCAGTCTCCAGTTCGCTTCCTTATTGCTGTTGGCAATCTCTTCCTAGGCGGCCTGAGAGCAGGCAGGCAACACTTCTGTTTCAGAGGGGAAGCTGCTGCTCCGCGTGGCAAGCCACCTGCCCAAGGCCAACAGGTGGGCCAGGGCTGGGCCCCAGCCAGCCTGCTCCCAGGACAGGACCCTTCCTCTCAGGCCCAGCCCCACTGATTTGGTGATGGACCCAAGCGAGGACCAGGAACAGACTTTAAAGGAGCAGAGATGGGCTGCAGGCCTGACTGACAGCACACCCCCTCTGCACTCAGACACCCCGTAAACCTGCCGCTGACAGGCGGGGAGACCTTAGGGAGGAGGGGAGCCACATTCAAGGGGAGGTGCTGTCAGATGAACCCTCAGAGACGGAAACTGGGTGCTAAGATCATGACTAGAGATTTTACAACATTTCAGATTTTACAACATTTCTCATTTTGCCCAGAGGAGGGAGGTGGCTGTGACAAAGCCCAGACTCAGGACTGGGAACAGAGGCTCCCTTCCAGGGCCGCGCTCTGAAGAGCAGGGCTGTGGGAGCCTCCATGTTCCCGTAACAGAGCGAGGTCACAGAAGGCTACCAGTGAACGAAGACGACAATCAGGCTGGGGTCACGTGCAGAGACAAGTCACACTGTGTCCTTAGTGAGATTTTAGCCCAGCCTCCCCCATCCCCAGCTTTACCCCCCCTGCCCTTCAACACCCAGTGAGCCGGGGTTAGCCCTGCCATCTCCCCAAGGCCAAGTGTCTAGCAAGGCAAGGCACCAGGCTTCCTCTTACCCCAGCAGCAGTCATGCCATGTTCCCCGGGCAAAGCACCCCCCTGGGACCTGGGGGTGGGAGGCTGGGTGCTGGTGCAGGGGGAGGAGGACAGACCCCTCTGTCCCAAGCGGCCGAGGGCAGTGGGTTAGTCAGAAAGCGAGCCGCCTGGGAAGTCGAGTGCATTGGTAAAACCACAGTGAGGTAAGAGAAATAAGAGGAGAAAAACCTTCCAGACAGATCATCCCCAACTTCATATTGATAGACACGAATGACCCGACGATATGCTATGCTATTTAAAGAAAAGAAACCAAGTGAATACACCAAAGGAAGGGGAGCGAGAGCAATACCGAGACAGACACACGCCACGGGCCCAAGCAGGCAGCGCACAGGCAGCCTGGAGCCCAGGCAGGGACCTGGTGGAGGGAGAGCTGAGGGCCGGCCTGGGGGGACAGGCAACCTCGGGGCAGTGCACATGGGCTGGGAGAGACTGGGCAGGGTTGGGAGGAGCCACACAGGAAGGGGAGCACAGCACCTTACAGAGACGAGACCAGGACCAGCAGACACAGCCAGTGGGCCGGGAGGAAAGCAGACACCAGGGTTGCTCACGAGCTCAAGCTTGAAACTGCTCTAAATGCTGAGTGCCGACCCTTCGGCCTCAGCACGCGGGGACAGATCCTGGGCACATGTCCCCCACTGCTCCACTCCCCCATGCTACCACCCACCCTGGCCTTGACAGTGGCCTGGGAGAGAGTGCAAAGGTGACCGGCCCAGCCCGAAGCCAAGGCCTGGGAAGAGGCTCCTACTAGGACCGGGCGGGGTGGCCCTGCTCCTCGACTCCTCCCAAACCTGCCTTGACCACTCAGACACACAGAGCACTGTTGCTTCGATGAGGGTAAATGACGCCTGTCCCCCATCCCGGAAAAACGGACTGCTGGGAGGGATCAGTACCCAGGCGGGGACTTCCTGAACCAGCCTGAGCCCCCTAAACATGGGCATTCTGCGTTATGCCCACGGCCTTCCTAAGGACAATACAGTCCCAGCGGACACGTGAGCCAGGGCATGAACCAGCACGAGGACTCCAGAGGCTCTGGCCTCCTGGGTGTCTCCTTCCTTACCCAAGAGCACTGGCACTGGACAGGAAGGCGGAGTGGCTCCCCTCCCCAGATGGCAGGCTGTGAGGGACAGTGGGGCAGGGCGCACACTCCTTGTAAGAGGACAGGGACGGGGCAGGGGAAGTACAGCCTGCCCTGGGCAGGAGGGCGCAGGAAGGCCCACCCTGGGGTCCTCCGAAAGCCAGGCCACGGGAGGGTAGGGGGGAAGGGACAAGCACAGGAGACACCACCACACCACGAGCCCGGAGAAATAAGACAATATTAACCCATCGAGGAGATATGTTCTGTGCAGGTGGGATCCAAGCAGCCGAGAGACAAGGTGGTGTCCGAACAGCAGCAATCGGGAGAGGGAGACAGGAGAGAGAAAACAAAACCAACATCAGTACCCACCCTGCACTCACCCACACCCTCTGCCCTGAGCTGGCTAACCCAGGGCCATGCACTACCCCCCCCTACACAACCCCCGCCATTGGAAAAAGTAACTGCAAGAACACGTTCCAATGCCACCCACCCTCCGTTCCCACTCCTAACCCTCTAACACCCAGCATGCCTCTGCTCTCGTGCAAAGCTTCCCTGGACCGGGAGGCCCGGGTCTTCAGCAGGTGGGGCCGCACCTGGTCTCCTGGATCCACTGGTGGAAGGCGTTGGCGTGCTGCGCAAACTCCTGCCGCAGCTTGTCATTCTCCTCCTGCCGGCGCTGCTCCTTCTGCAGCTCCAGCTCCCTCTCCTACGGACCAAAGGGAGGCGGGAGCCCTGTCACCAGCCCGTCTGGCACCGACAGGCCCGGGTTGGCGACGGCTCTGCCCTCGGGAAGGGATAGCTGGCCTTCACGTTGGAAGGAGTAGGAAGCTGTTTTGGGATGCTGAACACAGGAGCTGGCTCGGGAGTCAGGAAGGACTATGTCAACCTTAACGGACAGGAAGAAGTCTGGGAGACACTCAGAGCTCAGAGCACTCTAATTCTCTAGCTGCTCGAACCCCTGCCAGAATTCTGGCACGCTGTGCTGTGAAAATGACAGGTGACAGGTAAGGGGTGCTATGCTGACTCTGCCACTTCTGATAAACAAAACCCGCTTCCTCCGCTCGAGTC